CGGGGCGGGCGGGGACCCCCCCGCCGGCGAGTGGAGCTGCCGCCGGCTCGGTGCAAGCTTGCGACCCGGGCAGCTGCCTTCGCGTCTTAAGCGCTTGATTCCCCTGATTTTTCTCTCCCTTGCTGGGCATGCACAGGGAGGCAGCGTGGCCCTGAGCTGCAGAAGGGGCTAGTGCCCACATCTCCGGGGGAGTCATGGACAACTGAAGTGCTCAGCACCTTAGCAAGCTGAAGTTAGACTGCCAAAACTTAGGACCCCCCAAATAAACTGTGTTTTAAACAATGTTTTTGCTGTATGTCTTCAAAAGTCAAATAATTCCATGTGCCATGTTTACTGGGAACACCGTGGAGCAAACCTCATTACTATTTATAATGCATTTCTCGGTTATCCATTGGAAGTGCCTTTCAAGTATGACTTTATTCTATACTTTTTAACACAGAGGCAATCAGGTACTGGAAGAGATTACACAAGTATATATCAGTTATTCATCATATGGACTTCTAATACCAAGATCAGCTGCTTTTTGATGATCAGTTCAACTCCAAGCTAGCGAGCCATAGCTCCACCAGTGGTACAGGGAACTTGGGTGTTTTGCTGCTAACTTTGGTCTTATTGCAGCACCTGCATTGGTCCCTGAAATAGCTCATGAGTCAGGTTTTCAAGAAAGCTCAGCATCTTTGTGGGCACTAATGTTTGGGCTAGTTTTCAAAGACCTCTGCATATTGTGTGTGCAAACAGTATAAAAAGCTTTTATGAAAAAACCCTAGTCCTTCTCCGTCTGACCAAACAAGAGTCCCAATCCTCCTGCCTTTAAATGCAACCCTTTGCGAGGGGCTGTGTCTAAACGTGCTGTGAGTGGGTCTTCACTGCCTTCCTCGTCAGGGAAGTGTGGCTGGCCTCACACATCACCTGCCGTCATTTCCATTGCAGTTTCTTAACAATTTCATAGTTGTGAGGACCCCCTTGGGCTTCTCTGCCTTCTGTGATCCTGTGCTCTCGGCAGGGCTGTGGTGTGGGGAGAAGGCTGAGGGCAGGTGCGTGTGTTCTCCTGGGTGCGATAGGCCACGGGGCGAGGAGTCGGCAGTGGGGAGAGGACCCAGACGTCCAGCCCTTGCTTTATCCAGAGCTTGGGAGCTTGTGCAGTCACTGGAGATGACCTTCCCTGCTTTTGAGAGTATTCACTCTGAACTTGTGATGTCAGTGGAAAATAATAAAAGTAGTAACAAGCAAGAGTCCAGTTCAAAGGGAAAATACATCCATTTTATGAAGATTTGTGGGGGTTGATGCAAGCATGACATTAACTTGCATCTACTCAGTCTAAGCCTGTTCTGCCAGTAAGATGGCAAAAAATGAGTGTTGTATCTTTGCATCTCAATGTAAATTATTTTTGCTTTAAAAAATTTAAAATATATAAAAGATGTATCCATTTCCTGTCCGAAGAAGAAAATTTTTGTATCCAGTGTCAGTATTTAGGTGCACACAAAACCAGTCAAAAGCATGAAAGAGAGAGGTAAGGCTCCACATTGAATGCTGTCTCTGAATCTTCAGTTACATAATGTCATATGCCATTATCTAAGATGTACTGTAATATCCATCATACATTTTCATTAATCTTATACAGAGCATCTTTAACAGCTTCCAATTTTCCTTCATTCTGCTACTTCTCATTATTTCCCATTAGCATGATTATTCACTGTCTTTATTACCTTTTTGCAGTTAGTATTTCTTTCTCTTGTGAGTGGGCTGAATCCTCCAGAAGTAGTCTGATAAACTACATCAGTGGGGGATCTGTCCTCAAGTACATTAATAGGAGAGAGTTGAGGTGTCGTCTTTAAGACCTACCTTCTGTAGAGGAAGGATGAAGTATAATTTTAACTAAGGCTGTCCCAGGCTGTCCTCTTTCATTCAAAAAAGTCTGCACCACCACATGGCTCTGACTTACTCCCCTGCTACCTCCTGCCTCGAACAGCCTGCAGGACCTCTAGGAAGACCTCTAAGCATAATCCTCCTTCTCGCTGCCTCTTGATTTGCAAATCCAGTAAGTCATTTCAGTATGTGTTCCTGCTGACACCCAGGTTTGGACTCAGATTGGTCCCAGTTTATCTGCTTGGGTGGCAAGGGTTAGATGTGCACAGTTCTTATTCCTCCTCGCTCTGTCACCAATACCTTCCACGGCCAAGTCAGGGCTAGTGACAGCTTAGTCCATAAAGAGTATCCATCTGTGAAATGTTTGATACCAGTAGTACAACGTATTTTAGCTCCAGTGCACTGTGTGAGGCAAATCGCTGTGCTCTTGGAGGAACCTACATGTTGAAGTTGCCCTTAGGTACACACAATTACCTGCACTGTAAGTAAGGGGGGTGTGGCACTTAACTACAAAGGTCATGTACCCAGCAGCTGGTCTGAAGAGGTTATGTGAATTGGCAGGTTTTGACTGGTGTCTGTGAAAGAAACGGTAGCTTTGACCATTCAGCTCTTGACTCCGTCTACGTATGAGTATGAAATACTTCAAGGCTGCCTCTGTATGTTTCTCTAGCAATAAGTAAAAAGTTGAATAGTTTGGAAAAGTGGTAACTTGAGAAGCAAAATATGTATATAAAGACAACAGCCCAAATTTTCAGTTAGTGCAGAATCTAAGTTACTCCATCCAGTGGCAGTTTTTAGTAGTGAGGAGCTAGCTCTGAGGCACACCTTCTGAGGGCTCACAGAATATGTAAGGAGCTTTTTAAACAACTCTTGTTAACTTTTTTCTCTTTTTACTGTGGTGAAGCTAATGGCTCTTTTTAGTTCTCTGGAGAAGAAATGACAAAAAATTACCATCTCTGGTAATTTGTACCATTACATTTTTAGTCTCCATGGAAACCTATGTGGTGCTTCACAGTTGGGTAACATTTCAATATGTTGCAGCAGAAATCAGATGGAGGGAAAACTGGGTTCTGCACCTTGCCTGTTAATCGATTAAAAATGGTTTTGAAATTATTTTCACATTGTGTTGCAATCTTCACTTACACTAACAATAGAAGAAATCAAAGTAATCAAATTAAGCTATTATTGTCTGATCCTACATACACCTAGGCACATAACTGCCACTCAGTTTGATTCTGATAGGCATTGACATTAATTTAGAAGAATTCTTTGGTTTTAGTAGGATTATATGGATTAATACTATGGAAACTGAAAGCATAATAGCAAACTGTCAGGTTGACTCTAATAAAAAGCTTGCCAGAGAGGTAGTAACAACCCACTTGTTGTAATTTATGTAAGGAAAGCATTTTTGAAAATCAAGAACCTTAAATCTTTATCTTTCTCTGTCTTTACTCTTGTTCTTCAACTACTAAAGAAGAAATAAATCTCAAAACTGGTTTCCTCTGAAAAGATATAGTATCTTCATCTACCTACCTCTTCAGGATTTCCTTTTTTTCTTCCAGGCTTTATCAACTTGAACACAAAGGAACATAATCTTACTGGGAGAGCAGAAGGCAATACAGAGAAGGAATATACAGAAAGAGATCAGATTTTTTTTGTGACTACAGTCAACCCATGAAGAGTGAGCGCTCTCAGCTACTTACATGTAAGTACAGTATATAGTAACGGAAATAATGTAGCCTACTGTCAACCTGTAAATACTTCTGCGTAGACAGCTGTGATAATAAGGTACACAAAGAAATATATTAATTAGAGAATTTTCTAAGGATTTTACTTTCGAACAACAAAAATCCGGTATTCACTGTACAACTGCACTAAAACACAGTAATGTGAAATATGGTAGTGATTTATGTTACTCACTATAACCAAACTACAAAATCTGATAATTTTGTATGTGTTTTGAAGGTATTTACTGCATTTGTTTCAGAATACCGTGGAGAAGATGTATGCTAGTCGAGAGGATATTGGATATGATTTCGGAGATGACTCAAAAGTTGGAAGTAAGCCAATTAAGCCTAATCCAAACATCGATGGAGGATGGGCTTGGATGATTGTACTCTCCTCTTTCCTCGTACACATACTTATCATGGGGTCCCAGATGGCACTTGGAATCCTCAACGTGGAGTGGCTTGAAGAGTTTAATCAAAGTCGTGGCTTAACAGCGTGGGTTAGCTCCCTCAGCATGGGCATTACACTTATTGTAGGTATGTTCCAGCATAATTTATTTCAAAACTACATAGATTTTTCAGAATATGTTTGCCACTGATCCCTGAAGTATTTTCTTACAGTTTTCCATTTTATTAACAGAGCTATGCAGGTTCTCCTGACTTGCCTTTTTAAAGTCACCAGGTCAAATTTTACAAGTTAGAGGGAGAAAGGGAACAACAGGGAAGATGATAGAGAAGACAATTACTTCAGGAGACCTCATGAGCAGGAAAGGATACCTGTGACTTCAAGGTCTCAATAGAATTAAGAAAACAGATGATCTGTGAAGCTTGTGGTCTTCCCTGTGCTCTGTCTAGAAGGAGAAAATATTCAATTTGGACACCTTATATTTCAGTTTGACAGCTGAACTAAAATTTATTTTTCAAGTTACTGTTGGATCAACCTCAAATAATATCTGGAGGGGTACGTTTGTGTATACATACACACACACACCTCGGCCTCTCTAAATTAAGACTGAAAAAGTTGTGTTTAGGTCTGCCTAAAATACTCCACTGAAAACAAAATGTTTACTTCATCAATGCTTATGAAAAAGGTCTGCACTCATACAACATTAGTATTGGGAACTATGGTTTGAGTCTCTTCTTTGGTTTGAGTCGCTTCTGTTTAAACTGTCCATTCTTCATGGGACAACTTTGATTTTAGGTCCTGTGGGTATTTGCTAAGTATTTGGTCAGTTGGTTGATTTTTCCATGATTTTAAACAGTAGTAGGGAAGATAAACTGAATTGCATGAGTGGCCTGATGTTTAACATTTTGTTTAAAACATTAAGAATCTTCATGTGAAAAATTATTAGAGTGTAGGGAATTAAATAAATAATTCAACATTTTTTCATGTGTTCTAACAGGTCCTTTCATTGGTTTATTCATCAGCATGTGTGGGTGCCGCAAGACAGCTATAATTGGAGGGATATTGAATGCTCTAGGTTGGATACTGAGTGCCTATGCCTCAAATGTGCACTACCTCTTCCTTACGTTTGGAGTAACAGCTGGTAAGAACTCTAATAACATTTGAAAGTTCTTTCATTATTTTGAATCCTTTGAATCCACCTTATCTGGGTGACTAAAGAGGGAAGTTAGACTGTAAAGTTACTCCAGCTTTTCTTTCACACTCTTTACAGCCTGCTACCTTTTCAGAAAACTGACTTGTTGTCATTTGAATCTGCCATGTGAAGATGGTATTTTTATCAGTTTATCAGTACTGATAAAATATATTTTATCAGTAAATATATTAGAGGACATTTTTAATTAGAAGAAATAATGTTTCCCAGACTAACAAGTAGAATTCAAAGAATCTAAAGCACTGTTGAATTATATATCCAGCTAACTCCTCTCTTTGTCACAGGAAGAAACAATGTTTTCTACAGGAGCTGCTCCAAATCAATAAAATACCAGATTATAATAACCATATACTGCTTCAAAACCCATTTTAGAGAGTGCTGTGGGTTACTACTGGTAGGCAGCTAAGCCTCACACAGCTGCTCGCTCACTCTCCTGCAGTGGGATGGAGGAGAGAATCAGAAGGGTAGAAGTGAGATAAAACCAGTTTAATAGGTAAAGCAAAAGCTGCATGCACAAGAAGAGCAAAATAAGGAATTCATTCACTACTTCCCATGCGCAGGCAGATGTTCAGCCATTTCCAGTAAAGCAGGGCTTCATCATGTATAATCATTACATGGGAAGACAAATTCTGCAACTTCGAATGTTCTCCCTTCCTCCTTCTTTCCCCCACTTTTATTGCTGAGCATGGCATCATATGGTCTGGGATGTCCCTTTGGTCAGTTGGGGTCAGCTGTCCCACTGTGTCCCCTCCCAGCTTCTTGTGCACCCCCAGCCCACTCACTGATGGGGCTGCATGAGAAACAGAAAAGTCCTTGATGCTGTCCGGCAACAGCTAAAACATCCATGTGTTACCACCAGTGTTTGGGTCACAAATCCAAACCAGCACCATATGAGCTACTGTGAAGAAAACTAACTCTATCCCAGCCTCAGGACAATGCATGTGGCCGTATTTCATAGATAGTTTCTAATAAAAGATATCCAGATTACATCAACAACCACTAATAAATAGCAACTAATCTTGCTACATTTTTTTACAATCAGAATCACTGGAATAATATTTTGTCATTTTTATTAGAATTAAGTCTCTAGAAAACCTTTTGACATGTGTAAGAGTGCAATCAAAATATTAAAATGTATGCATGTTTAGGAATCTTTCTTGAAAACCAACAGATCCTTGGTGCCTGAATGCTCACTTTCTAGCAAAATGTGGCTTCTTGTGAAAAGTTTAGTTAAAGAAAGTTATGTAGAAGAACCCAGTATTATCTGTTTGAAGTGCTATTCCATTTATTCACTTCATTTCTGGAAGTTCATTTCTGGAAACAGATACTGTTAGAAGATATGAAACAAAAATGTTAAAGTGATCCAAGTGATAAATATAAAATTTGTCCTTTAATTATTAGCTGAGCAACACTGAGCAGTTCAGGGGGCTTTGAAATATTATTCACTCCACGGTTAATATGGCCAGTTATGTTTGCAGATGAAGCATGGTATCTATATGTGGCAGAAGTGTTATGAAAAAAAATTGTTTGCAATACTAATAATAGCTTCAGTACCCTCCATCCCCTCAAACTGCACTTTCACAGAATTTCATAGAAATCTACAGAATTTCTGTACACAGTTTTTTATCTAGCTCTCTGGATGGAAAAAATAATTGAAGTTAGCAAGGATCACTGTGATAAGTCTTTATACCACCAAGCCATAGATTTCAGTAATGTTGTAAATTCCTGAACAAAGAGCAGTAATTACAGGCAGAGTTCTGCCCTTGTCAGAATTTATGTTTCCATATATATGGAATATAATCAAACAGACGGGATCTACACATTGTTTTGCTGAGCCTTTGCTGCTTTTCAGAAAGAGCATACACAAAATATCAGACGAAAAGGCAGAGATTATACACCGAATTTAAAGAGGGGCGAAAACCCTGTTTTCAGAAAAAATCTGACGCAGGTTTTTAGCAGTAGTAATTCTGGTCATAAAACCAGTGTAGAGATGCCTGAGATGTTTCTTCCAGCTCCACAAGACCTCCGTTCACCATGCCCTCACTCACCACCGCCTCACCCACCGTCCCCTCGCTCACCTCAGTCCCCATCCAGCTGCTCACTCCCAGCCACCTCCCTCACACCACCTCAGGGAAGTTTCTTTCATGTTCTGGTGGCCGCTAGATTTAAGACTGCTGGTCACTTACGATGGCCACCTCCTGCTGCCATCACTTCTGGGGCCTCCATGCTTACTCGTGGCTCCTGTTCTCCTGGTCGGTGACCTGCCATGCCAGATGCCCTCACACAGAACGTCCCCATGATCCCAGCTTGGTCCCCCCAGCCGCAGCCACCTGCCGCCTCAGCTCCCATTCCCCAAGTGCCCCTCACCTCAGCCCCCCAGCCTCATCTCCTCCCCTCCTGCCCCACAGCTTTACGCCAGCTCCACCAGCTCCTCTCCCTGTGGCAGCAGTGGCGGGGGGCAGAGCCGCCTGCGCCCTCACCCATCCCGGGCAGCCCCTGGCTGGGGCTGCTGGCAGCAGGGAGTGCCTGTGGGCTGGGGGCAAAATGCCCCCGAGGCCTCGCACAGGGCTGGGGGAGAGCGGAGTCAGCCCTGCCGCTGCCATCACAGGGCAAAAGGAGCGGAGAGGCTTGTGGCCCTGTGTTTACCTGTGAAGGTGGCAGGCCTTCGCATGTAATGAGAGTAGGTTTTGCTATGTAACCCACAGAATGAAAAGATAAAACAACTTTAAAAACGTCTTCTTGGGATGCGCTGGGAAGCGCAGTAAGCACTAGCACAGGCACGAGCCTGGGCTGGTTTTTCACAGCAGGCGACGGCAGGCTGGTCTGACAAGGCTGGCAGTCTTCTGGGGGGCAGAGAGATTTCCTTAGGGTTTGTGGCTCGGTTTGGGGAGGGAGACCTTGTGCAAAACAGAAACATGAGCATGTATTTGCATAGCAAAGAAATAAATACTTCTAACAGGCAAAACAGGTCAGCTCTGACCACAGTACACCGCTGTGGTGTTGAGGTGCTTTTTTGAAGGCTTTGCTGGAATAACCATTCTTTCAGTGATGGGGGTGTAGCTACATCGTGCTGTAGCTGCATGCAGCTATGTTACCAGATACTTAGAAAAACTTTTAAGCCCAAAACACTCTTCTAAATTATGATCACAGTGAATTTGGAAGCATCTTCTGCATATACCTCTTCCAGTCCAAATCCCCTCCCTCAGGAATTTGCTGTGAGAAAAACTGGGCAGCTGTTACATTTAATGATGTGTTTGCACAACTCTCAACACCTTCTGCTTGAAATAGGTACCTTTAATACCCTGGGTTATAAATACGGCTGAGGGATTTTCTACAAAATTACAGATCTGCCATTTAAGAATATGCCTGTGCAGCTACTTTTTGGCCCCCTTGGAGTATCCAAAGAGAAACCTGAAAGCCACCCAAGGTCCCACCATGGGGCGAACATCTCATGCTGACTCCTGAAATACATCTCACAGTCACTGTGGCTCCACAGCTACAAAGAAAACAGAAACTCATTCTGAATTTTCATTGCTGGTGAACTTGGGCAAAAGCAACAAGATATGCCCGCTAAGCAATTTCTGGCCACTGATACAATCAGATGGAAGTATTACAAATGCAGGTATTTCAAAGTAGGGTTTGTTTGGGTTTGTTCCCATATTAACTGTCACTGATTTATTGTGGGATGTTTGGGACTTTACAGCAGTGTCATGCTGAACTGAGGTAAAGGTTTTATCTTCCATGTGTTTCAGTTTCTCCAGCAGTTAAATAGTGGTATAGTATTCTCACTGGAATGGCTATTGCAAATTTTGAAAAATGCTACAAGACAGAAATGAAAGCTAATATGAGCATTGAATATTTATTCTTGGTTTTACTACTATGCTCGCATAAAAGTTAGGAATAAGACTCATTTGGTTTTCACTGCTTTTTGTTTTGTCAGCAAAAAGTTCAGACTGATTCTGGGTTTTATTTTTGTAGGTGTTGGAAGTGGCATGGTTTATCTGCCTGCGGTGGTGATGGTAGGGCAGTATTTTCAGAAGAGAAGAGCGCTCGCACAAGGACTCAGTACCACTGGAACAGGGTTTGGAGCTTTCCTAATGACTGCCTTACTGAAGTACCTCTGCATCGAATTTGGGTGGAGGAACGCCATGTTCATCCAGGGCGCCATCTCCCTGAACCTTTGTGTCTGTGGAGCGCTCATGAGACCACTCGCTCCCAAAGATGTTGTTAGTGAAAAATACATTGTGAGAAGTAATAGTGAAGATAATCAGGCAAAAGCTCTGTCCCATTCTGCAGAGACTATAAAATCTAATGGAGTCCTCAGTGATGAACCAGAAAAAAAAGAAGAGACAAATGAAGAAGTGCTTGACAGTGTTCAGCACATAGAAATTGGAGGTAAATCTAGAAGCGGAAGGAATATGTATGGACTGCGCATTCTTAAGACAGTGAGCCAGCTGACGGTTACAGTCAGGAAGGGCTTTGCAATGTGGTACTCCAGCTACTTTGGAGCTGCATCACTGTTTACCAATAGAGTATTTGTGGCCTTTATAATTTGGGCTTTGTTTGCCTATAGCAGCTTTGTCATTCCCTTTATTCATCTTCCAGAAATAGTCAAACAGTACAACTTATCTAGTCAGAACAATATTTTTCCTTTGACATCGATTATAGCCATTGTTCATATTTTTGGTAAAGTGATCCTTGGAATCATCTCTGATCTCCCATGCATCAGCACGTGGAATGTCTTCCTCATGGCTAACTTTACCCTGGTCACCTGCATTCTTACTTTGCCACTAATGCAAACCTATGTCAGCCTGGCTGTAGTTTGTGCTCTAATAGGATTTTCTAGTGGCTATTTTTCTCTAATGCCTGTTGTGACCGAAGATTTAGTTGGAACTAAACACCTTGCAAATGCCTATGGCATCATCATTTGTGCCAACGGAATATCTGCATTGTTTGGACCACCCTTTGCAGGTAAAAAGTTCAAATTGCTAAGCAACAGATGTTTGTATAATAACCGTGTGACTTGTTACATTATTAGGCTTTCTTATGTTAGGAGCACATGTAGTTAACAAAATTACAGCTGCTCCAGAATGGACTGTAACATCCAGCTTTGTACAAATTTATAGATTGCATTTGCTGGGTACCAGTTCACTATTCACACACTACAAATTACAATCCTTGCAAAATAACGCCAAATCTGTTATAACCTATCCTTTCAATGGTGTGTTAAATAGTATCATATATTTTTTTTAAATGATAAAGTTTAACCTGTTTTTATGTGTAATATATGCACTATACATACTCATGCCTCTATCTAGATGAAAAAAATGATGAGTAGTTTTCAGGATAGGCGGGTGTTTGTACCATAGTATTACCCCCACCCCAAGAACTGCAAAGTGTGTTTGGGTGTCACCACTCTAAGCTGCCAATGGATGTGTTGATTTAACTAACTTAGCTTTGCCTTCCTTCAGCCAGAAATACCTACTTGAGGGACCACACTGCTCATAATCTCCTTACTGCCATCCATAGCAGAAGGTAGAAGCATATGTATGTTATCCCTAAAGTTAGTTAGGTTTAAACAAACACTCATTATAAATTTCCTCATAGAAAGAGGCGGGGAAGTACTAGGTACTGCTTGTCAGACTACAGCTATCTTTTACAGACATGTAAATCAGAAGAAGGCAACAGGAAACCTTGTGAGCAATGGCTGTGGTCAGCCAGGGATGGCACTAGGCTGAACTGAAGCTATTCACAGCACAAGCAGTGCAGAAAAGTGAGACCACTCTAACCTTCTCTCCCCACTATTGAGTGAGATAAGACAATTTAGAAGAAAGCTCATTCAGTGCCCTTTGAAAAGCAGCAGTGTTTTACTCTACCATACATTCTCAGCCTGTGCTGAACGTGTCTTTGTGTTTGGTTATTAGTAACAAAGCAAATAGGATGCAATTAGGTGATGCTAAAAAAAGCTTCTGATCTTGAGGTTACATCACAGTGCAACCAGCATGACATGAGGGAATTTTGCTATTTTGGGTTCTCAAACCTTTCTGAAGTAACTTTAATGTATTTTTGCAAAGGAATTAAGGTTGGAATGAGAGAAGTCTTTTATTTGTATGTGAGTCTTTGAGAAAGCTATTGGGAATGTGTTTGCTTGCACAAGGCACAGCATTTGAACTAGCCTGCCGTATCAGACATTTTACAAAGACAGTAATAGGGTGGAAGAACTAATTGGTTTGGGATTCCAAAATAGCTATTTTAAAGTCAGACCTGTGATAACTTGTTTGAAAAATGTAGTTTTAGAGCAAAGGTTGTTAGGCTTCTTAGGATGGCACATAGTCCCATTTTAAGACTTCCATGATACTTAAATGAGGGGATAGGTTTTGCACTGATTTTGGGTTTTGGTGAATGAACAAGACATTTTCTTCACACATTTCCATTCGTAGCATCTAGAGAAGGAGACAATCACCAGCTTTTTTCCATAAAACATCTATGGATTTGACTGAATTGTCGTGAAAAAAATGTGCAGTGTTTTTCATATTTTCCCATGCAATGTGTCTTGTTGTCAAGCTTTGTAACAAACATGTTTTGTCCTTATTTTCCAGGTTGGATCTATGACATCACACATAAATATGATTTTTCATTTTACATATCTGGCTTGCTATACATGGTGGGAATAATATTTTTACTTATACAACCTTGTATTCAAAAGAAACAATCAAGAGAAAAATCTACAGAAGAAGCACAAGTATAGAACAAATTCCAGAAGTTTTTTTACAGAATTCTTTTGTTTTCACGTTTCTGTATGAAGCTTTTTTTGTTATGGATCCAACCACATTGAGCTGTACTTAAGTGAAATGCAAATGTGCTCCAAAATGCTAATAAATTAATATAAACATGCTCTTAAAGTGAGTTAAGATCTTTTACTTTAGAACTAACAAATACAGTGATTAAAAGCACCCTGCTAGTCTTAAAATTGGGATAATGCTAAGAGCCTTTACCCTTGCTTCTCTTAGAACTTTTCACCACTATCCATTGGTGAAACTCCATTGACTGCAGTGCAGTTACTCCTGATTTACAGTAGTCCCACAAGAGAATTTGACCAGGATATGAATGATTTATAAAAGTCCTTCCTACTGTGTATTCTGTCTGATAAAAGAGTAGTTACTGGGTATGAAAAAATGATTGTATTTCTTACCTGGCTGGTTGAGTACTGTTGAAATGCTAGTACAATTCAATTAATCCAGTGTATTAAAATTACTATTTCTGTGATGCAAAACTGAAGAAGAGTTCTTATATTTTTCTGAAATGACTCTCTACTTCAAGGATTTTTTATTTTATTTTTTTAAAGTATCAACTGCATGGTAAAGTAGCCATCCTTCATACGTAGGCTGCATTATAAACGCTGTGATGCTTAATGCACCTGAAGTAAAACAAACATAAAAGCAAAACCAGGCAACATATGGAAAACATTATTATTATTCACAAACTGGAAAATGTTTCCAGGAACAGTTTGAAGTTTCTGGCTGCTTTACCTAATTACAGGTATTGTAGAACTTTCTAACATTGCCATTGACTTCTTCTGTGGGACTTGTTCATCGAGTAAACAGTACTAAAGAAACAGAGTTGGGCAAAATTGGCCAAATACAGTTTTAGAAAAAACTGGACTACAGCACACTAAATTCTGTTACAATTAATTAAATAATGAAAAGCGGCATTATGAGCAGCCTTGTGTAAGACTGGTTACATTTGAGATGTTTATTCACTAGAAAATTAAATAATGCAGAGCATGGAAGAGCTGAAGACCATTTAAGATATTCAAATAAATTTTCTTAAACAATGTTAAGCACCTGTTAATACAGCATATATTGTATGGTGCTACAAGACATCCTTTTTTCAGCTTTGAGAGGTGAGTCTGATGTTAATTTTGCTATCAAATAAAAGTCACATGAGGTTTTTTTCCTGCTAGTTTCATGAAAGTTTTTTCATGACAGAGCAGGTTCTTTGTTTAATACTGATACATGCTGCTGTAATTCTTTAAGAACTATTTATACTATTCAATTATATTGAACAAATATTGGGAAACAGTTCAGTATGCAACAGTATCTTTATACAGATCTTGTTTATAGATGCAAGGTTGGTTAAAAAAAATGTTCTGAAGCACAACTCTTATTGAAATTGAACTATTCTTAGTGTTGCACTTCTACAACTATTAGCAGGGACATACTTTAAAACAGGTCACTGAAATGAGCCAAGTTAAAGAAGAAAACCCCAAACTACTTTAAGATTTAGATCATTCATGTAAGATAGTTATGTATAACCTTTAAAATTCATATTAAAACAGTTACTGAGTTGGCAGTCAACTCAGCTCTGGTGTGAAGACAAAGTCAGTAATTTATTAAAATCAGGGTTTTTTTTTGTTGGAGAAAATATTCCCATAAACTACACTTTCACATCAGTTATTTTGTTACAGGTTTAATGTATTGGTGTGCATACTGCTGCCAGTTTATTTTAACTGAGCTATCTTTTATTGTTGAAATATATATATTGGTGGTGATTTCCCTCCACTTCCTTTTTCTTTTTGAAAGATACGTACCCTTTATACTTAGATCTTCACTTTGTCTTTTGTACAAAATCAACTTCATTTGCCTATTACTGTAATGAATAATGTGTTGGTCACAATATCTGCAGTATATCTTTCTATAGAAGTCCTTACTGGGCTATATGATGGGAATAAACTTACCCCAAATTTACTAATTAAGTTCTTCTTTTTAAGCTTAAAAATGAAGATTTTCCTTCAAAATGACTGTTCTTATTTCTTGTAACAGAAGAGACAGGTACATGGTTGATCAAGGAGAAGGGAAGGTAGGCTGACAAAAATTGAGTGAAATTAGGATTTTAAATTAATATTCACTCAGTCTGTGTTGGATAGCACAGGCTCTAGTTTCCTAACCTGAAACTGCCTAAATCTGTTACGAAAGCACAAGGTAAGAAAAAAATTCATTGGTGATAAATTAACAGAAAGTGAGAAAAGAGGGTCTGTTGTTTAATAGCTCTGCTCACATACTTAAAATAATTCTTAAAATAATTTCTCTAAAGCAAAATTACATTTTATAGTGTTTTATTACACAGAAAAAAATTTATGAATACAGTATTTTATGCACATAATGAAATTTGTATTTGTTGTCCTAAAAGGAAACAATAAGAGTAGAGAATATACTTAAGTGTTTCTTCTATCTGAAGATCTGCAATCACCAAATGTTTCAAGAATACTGATATATAGTTGTAGAACAAAATAATCTAAATTATTAGCAAATATATTTTAAGAATTAATATACTATTTTATAAAGAAAGAATAATAACCCTGTATTCATAATTTTTAATCAATTTATGAAATTCAAGTTTGATACTTGACATGTTAAAAAATTGTAAACCTAATACACTCTTGAAATTACACTATTATATCCAAATACTGAAACCACTACTCAGGTCCTAAGTCGAGTCAATGGCAAATGATATATTAATCAACTGGTACTTTCAGAGTAGTAATATTTGGTCTCTTAATAACTGAATGTTGGAGCAAGTCAGTCGTGAGTAAAATCTGCCTTCATCTTACAAAGTAACCATTGTTAGTCTTGTAAGATAGCAAATGTCTCATCAAATATGTAACTTGCAGTAACATTTGAAACTAATTGACTTCCATTGTTCATCAGCAACGTCAAAGAAAAATTTTGCCCTTATTCCATTCTGGCAGTGCCTCAAAAATTATTTTGATGGATTGTCCAAGATAAAGATGATGATTTGATTCACACCCTCATTCACCGTAGAAGTTTCCTCTTGGTGACAAAATTACTATTTGCTTGAAGTTTAGATAATTAAATTAAAAACATTTTAACACACATCAAACTCTGGAACCAGCTACATGGTTTTTGCTTCTAAACATTGCAAATTTATCATGGTGGACATTAATAACTTCAGCATTCATCAGCAATTTTTGTAGTAGGAAATGACAGATGGTTGTCTATAAGGGTAATAATGACAATGCCATAGCATCTGATGTAAGACATGGAGCATATATACAAAATAGAGAAGTCAGAATGAAGAAGTATAAAGAAGCCACAACCTCTTCTGTTGCTAGTAACTGTTACGATGCTAACTATAATACAATTTCAAGATGTCCAACATATTAAACATTGTATTTACATGTTGCTCCTAGTAAGACATACTTTGTTTTCCCTCTTTCAGTCCTTAAAATAATCTGCTTTCTATTGTAAAGAAGAAAAGTCAGTGAGTCTGACCTGATAAACAGTAAATCCACACCTTATAACAATTGCTTCAATAAAAAATGCATCTTTATTCTGTTTGGGTTTTGTTCTGAGCATCTTGTTTCTGCCTCCTCCTTTGGAGCTGCAGCTGTAGCTGAAGTCTGTTTGTGAAGAATTGTTTCCAGCCCATTTCCTGTGCAAGTTCTTTCATTTCAGGTGTAATTGTGTCACACAAGTTCTGCACAATATTTTCCCATAGCGCATTACTGTTACGTATCTAGTTGGAAGATAAAGTAGAGGCTTAAAATCACAATTTGGCTTACTCATTGCTGATTATTTTACTACACAAAATGTGTTTAGACAACAGAAATGCCTTGTATGAAGGTCACTTGCAGTGAAAGCTGCCCACTTACCTTGAACGACACTATTAGTTAAAACTCAGTAACATCAGTGGAAGTTTTGCCCAGTGTTGCTAACGCAAGATATTGCATGTTCTTTGAAAAATTTGAGAAGCTTCTTTTGGTACGATATCAGAGGCCTTTCTGCCACTCTAAAAGCAGCTGTAATGCCACATACTCTCCTGGTACGTAATTCATACAGCCCTGCTGAAGTCAGTGAAGCTATGTCAGATTATGCCCAAGAACTTGTCTGGATGTAGAAATTGCATTGCAGATAAAAATCTGTTTTCAAGTTAAATAAAAGAATCAAGCTGCCTTTGGACTTACAATAGAAATGCAATTTTAGGAAGCTTTCAAAACACTGTAAGAATTAAGCTTGTTTCTCAGGAGAGGCTTCTATCTTTCAGAATGACTCCATAAACAGACTCAGATGAAAATATTATAAACAGGAAGAAAAAATGATGTAATTTGTTAGATGACAGAACCATCACAAAAAAAAGAATTAGGAAGACACTCAGTGCCAGTAAATGATACTAGAGCATAGTAACATTGATTGTTCCTCCAATTGTTGCACTTTTCTAAATGTGTAATTATAGGGACTTGCAGAGTTGAGTGGCTGGTATGTCTCTCTCAAGAGTAGTAACAGAAACAGAAGAGCAAAAATCCTGGTATAACTTCTGTTACATACTGCTGATGTAGCTGGATACTATTTAATTCACTGACTACAGCAAAGCTGTATCAGAGTATGTGTGGTCCTGTTTTTGTTCTTGTGAGGGTGATAATACTGCAGGCACACAGAACATGCTAGGATATTTTAGCAAAGGAAAAGCAGGGATTATCTGTGCAAAGTTGTTGTAGAAGTCCTGAAATGAAAGTATATGCATGTTTATAGTTTTCTTTAAATTTCTGCTTGCTCTCGCTCTCTTGCCATTCTGCTGTTCCTATGAAAAATGGACACCTTTAAGTTAAAAATATGGAGACTGGGTTTTGGTATCATGTATTTGTATTTCCAAATACAGTGTTCTATTAAAAAAACTATGGAAATAAAACCGACATTCACTATCATTATTGTGGTTTTCTCTCCGTGCCAATGGCTTCTGAATTGCGGGGAAAAAAAAAAAAAAAAAAAAAAAATTTCTGTAAATTGGAATAAACTGGACGGCGGGGCAGCTGCTGCCACCCGGATCATCTTGCGTTGGGGACTGGGCTCCCTCTGGCGGGAGCAGCCTCCTGAAGCTCATAGAAAGCAGTGTTTTTGTAGTTTTGCTTTGCCTATCTAAAGACTTCGCACAAAATAAGCTAAATGAATCCTATCCTGAGCTTGTGCTGGGAGAGATCACAATAGAACAGTCTGATGAAAAAGTATTTGGAAAACTCACACAGTGCTCGAATGGTGGTCCACAACAGGGCTTCTGTACTTTGTTTCTTTTGAGATGGAGCTTCTTTCACATTTAAAAATAGTATCTAGGGGAAAACTAAAATACTTTGAAACTTATATTGGAAGCATCTGAATACTCCGGAGAGCCAAATTTATGCTCAGAATTACAGAGTCAGAGAAATGCCATGCTTTGGGTAACCAATAAAGATACCTGTTTAGTTCAGCCTATGAGGATTCATTTCACAGGACGGGATGGAGACTTTAACACTCCACTTCTCAATCCTAAGTGTAGAGACTGTTCTATTTTCCCCTACTTGAAAATCTGAATATGCTATTTTATAATTCCACAGAGAGCAACATTCCAGCCTACACATAAATTAGTCTGGAAATGAAAACTCATACTACTGGGTCAAATTTTTAATTCTTTAAAAATACTGCTGAAAAGAAGAGAAAGAGAACATGACATTACTAATTCTAAGAAATTATTTAATTGTGCCGAAATCTTATTTTATTATTATGAAACTTAGTTCTTCCTACGATTTTCTTAAATTTCAGAATACCCAAGGCTTTGTGTTAAACATTAAAAGTTTACTGCCCTCCATGGTACCTCATCCTACTCCACTCACACTCTGCAAATGACAGATAGATTCCAAACATACTAATAATTTCTTGACCGCCCTTCTATCCATTCTCTTCTCCTTTACTTGTTTTTATTCTTTCATCCCCTACTGCTTGTTTCCCAGTCACAGTATCAACTATTTTATCTTCAAACTGAAATAAAGCCCAGAACTCAGCAAGCTTATATACTTCCATCTGTCCTTCATCTCTAAATTAATGACAGCTGTATTTTGCTACCTCGCCATTTTCTCCTGTGCTCTCTTTACACCATCTCCTATTCTTTCTGCTCACTTGAACTCACTCTCGCTAAAGCACCTCTGTCTTTGTAGCCACACCATAGGAACAGTAGTACAGCCATGTCCTCTTGAACTGACAGCAGTCCTCCTCAGAACTTTTCTTGAAATCTTGGGCCACAGACTCAAAATAATTCAAATGCTGTGAGTAATCTCATCCTGATACAATTTGGAGATGTACTCTGTACCAGAGACATGTCCTGTTCTCCAAACTAAAAGGTTAATCTGTCTTTCTCAAGTCTTCCAGAGAGTATCAAGCTGTCACATCAGAGTCAAGATGACTAAACCTGTTATTATCTTCCTCCTAAGGTCTCACCATTACTTATGTTTTCAGTAATCATATAGCCCATAACTTGACAGGCTTCATTCTAGGTTCCTACAGCACCCCTGGGGATAAGAATCAAGTTATTTTTCTTTTTAATATGCTTCTCTTCCTATTTTTCAGAAGCTAAAATCCTTTCTTCCCCCTACCCGAGTTAGTGCAGGAGCCTTTTCTCAGAGTCTGACTGTGATAGAAAATGCAGTTTTGAGGTATTCAGACCCACAAAAATAAGCTTTCTAGAACACAGCTCTGAACATACTATCTTTCCATCCCTCCAGTTACCTGACCCTGCACAGACCAGGAGGTTGGGACAGATGACCTTTCAAGGGCCTCTTGGACACAGTTTAAGTGATCCTATGGCTTTGCTCTTTTTGCACTAACAGAGTGGCCTCATTCTCCTGGGACTTCAGGACTAGCCTTTCCTATTTGTAATCCCTCATTCAGCACCTTTAGAGGCTACCCTTAGCTCCAATCAGCCTATAGTGGCAACTTCCATTATTAACTTTTCAAGTTTCAATTCAACATGTTCATACTATTTCCCACACTTTCCTGATAGCTGGAAAGAGCTTCCTAGCAAGCATACATAATGTCATCTCTTTTGTTTCCTGTGTTTCTTACAGCTCCTTGCTGTGACATCTACAAAAAAAATTCTTGGAAAAAACCCTCCTCTTTCCTTACACTCCTGTCTTTTGTGAAAGATTTAACTGTAAGCTCTCTAGGAATGGCAATGATTTTTTTTTTTATTGTTAACGAGTCTAGAATAAGGGGATCCTGGGCTGTGGTTGAAGTTTATAGACATTACAATAATACAAGCCATAATGCAAAGCATAGATTTTACATTTCAAATACTTAATCCTGGAAGTAGTGCATAACAACCAGCCATGGGTTACAATGGAATTATCTGGATCACTGTGTTTATTATGTGCAACAAAAGTTTGCAGGATAAGCACAGTTTCTCTAACAGCCTTTCTAAGATCTCGTTTTTATTGCACCCATTCATTTGCTCAGATGATTCATTTATTGCCTCAAACTTTAAGTAAAGCAGATTGATGATTATGTTAAATGTAAGATGAATTAAATCCAACATGCTGCACAGCAAAGCTAACAGTTTTAAAACAATTCTTATATTTTTTAATATTTTTTTTTTTTTACCATTTCAAATCTGCGTGAAACTTGGGAAAGCCTGGCAATATCTTCAAGCTCCAGAAAGGAAATGATGTACAGGACCAATGGGACAGGAAGCTGTTCCAGGAAGTCAGAGTTACCTCAGCACAGATTGAGGACATGTTCCAGAACTTTGGCACCAAACACTATAGCAACCTGAACTGTGATAAAAAAAAAGAACAAACCCAAAACCAAACCCCAAGAGACAGATTTGTAAAAGTCTGAAATTTCTTCCCAATAATCCCACATTATTCAGATAAATCTTAAAAATTAAATGAAAAAAAACCCACATTCTGCTCATTTTTTAAAATGTTTTCTACAGAAAAGTACATGTAGTATCTCATATTGAACATTACTAATTTATAGTATTTCAATTAATCTTAAGAGCTGCTAGTGGCATCCAGGAAGCCTGCACAGTAAAACAAGGCTTTAGTTAAAAAACTGTACATTGTCTAGTATACAGCAAACTCTTGTCTCAGCTGAGGAATGCTAAAACAGTAGCAAAGTTGAACTGAAACTTGTCCAGATAAATTTTGTCCATTTTTCCACACATATAGACTAATTTACATAAAAACTGTGCTATTTACTCAGGAGGAGGTTGGTAAAAACAACTGATAAAAGTACTTCAGCTGTATGCTTTGGGGAAAACAATGGTGGCTCTGATATAAAGAGTCTCTGTAGTTCTGCTTCTTATGTAGGTACAGTTAAACCACTGGAATGAAATTGAAGACTGTTATCTTCTACAAGGACATGATATTTTTTGACTCACTCTCTTTGTGATCCAGTACAAAGCCAAATTATTTTTCTACAGATCTGCTACTTAGTGAGCTACTCTCCCATCCTGCATTCATACAGTTAATAATTTCTGCTTCAGTGTCCAACTTGGAACTTGGCCTTTTGAATTTAACACTGTTTCTTCAGATAATTTATCTATTTTATCAAGTTGCTTTAATAAAAGTTCTAGCTCATTATAAAACAGGATCCTGAAATCAATTTGCTACACTTCTGATGAACGATCAGTGGTAGATTTTGGAGCTTGTTTTCCTAAAATCTGACAATAGGAATACAGTAATCCAGATATGTAATTTTTTTTTTTTTTTTTTAAGCTTTTCACACAGGGATTAAAACTTAAATTTAAAGCAGGATTACTATTTTTTATATTATGAAATTACTCTAATGCAACCAAGGTGGGGTTTGTTGTTTTGGGGATTTCTTGTTTTGCTTTTTTAACCAACTAGTCTATCTTCTCATGTATGTTGAAGTCATAAAAGGAGAAAGAAACAGAATCACGGAAGTTGAAACTATACTGAGTATACGAGTAAGTGCATCCAATATTGATGCACTAGTTTTCATTCCAAAATATTTTTTAAGATTAGTTACAAAACTCAAACTTATGTGAATACATTTGAAAGACCTTTCCAAATGACAAGAAATAACTGTTACTATGTTAAGACTTTTTTCTTTCTTTTTGTTCCAAATATTCCAAGATAATTATGTAGAAGGAAGCTATCACCTTATCTTCCTTCACATATTTGGATAGATGGCCCAATACTGCTCAAACTTTGCTTTCTGTTGCTATATCTTACTGCAAGCGCAAACAGCTTGCTGTTGGTTCTCATTTGCTTTTTTGCTTTCCAAGCATCTCGGTTCTATATAATTGGTAATTTTCCTCAAATTCCTTATGCAAGTACAAAAATTATCTACACAGTCAAGTAAAAATTATTTGGCTGGTCTAATTCAAATTAATACATAAGAATGATTCAAATCTTTGCAGACTAGGAATGACAATGATAATGTCTGTAGTGTACACCTACTTCATGTTGAATGATTAGTAGGCTACTGCATGAATATTTGCTGCTCCTTGAGTTTTTATTGAAAATTATTTATTTCTAGAAATAATCCTGTGACCTGGTTTGGCTATTTTAAAATATATTTAGCTGTATTTATCTTGCTTTTTAAATGTATCTGCAGCTAATGATGAACTAACTGTGAAAGTATATTGAACTTCAGGTTTTCCGTGAACTGTTCATCCTATGAGTGCGGGGTACTACTTGATGACTTGCACTGTTTGTTCACTCATCCAGAAATATGAATAGACCTGTCTTCTCTTGCCCTACACTATCATCAATTAATTTTCCATCTTTGGAAAACCATAATGAAGACTCCAGCCATATACAAAACCTCACTCTTTCCTCTTGGCTCTATCAAGACTGTGAAAAGAAACTAACTATACCTTACTTCACTGTCAAAAAAAAAAAAAATAATTTCAAAACACACACAGAAGTTTGTAGCTGTATGGTAGTTAATATCAGTTTACTAAAATGTTAATGTTTATTATAAAATGTTTACTTCTCCAGTTTTCTATGGAATGCTTCATCCAATGCCTCTATGGGATATTGATAAAATGTTTCATATGCAGTGGGACCATTCTTCCTAAGCCCATTAAAAATAGTTTAAGCACTTTTTTTTTTTTTAAACAATTTTTTTCTGAAAATCTCTAACTGTGTGCAAATAAACAAAATCTTATGAATGAGAACTAGAAGACAACAACAGGAAATACAAAACTGATAAACATTTTGCTGGTAGGGGTGTACCAAATATTTAGCAGCAAACCATGGGTGTGGTGAGGATTCTTTTATCTGAACCCCCACTTGGCAAAAAATTCCAAAAGGATAACTAGAATCTTATTCCAGTATATATATTTGTGGAGAATTATGGAAAAAAAAAATCTGTAAATACTTAAAAGAATAGCAGCAAAGCTCCTCTTAACAGAAGATGAGAAGGAGGTGTAAAAACATCTGATTGTGTGGAACAGCAAGAGCTATGGACAGAAATAGTATCAATATAACAATAGAACTTCTCACAAACAGCAATTTATATTTGGATACTTCTATTTATGTTAGCATTTTTCTGAAAACAAATTATATTCAAATTTTACTAAAATCAGAGGGAAAGCCTCATGCATGATTTTAAAGATAATTTTAGAAGAAGGATGAAATGACTAAATGTTAGGCAAGAATGGCAACTGTGGCTTTCAATACTTCCTGTGGGATAGGAAACCTCTGAACCACCAGTAACACTTCTCAAGAAAAAGCAGGCAGATCTTACTTGTAACCTACTGAAAACACACAGAATAACAGTAGAAAACTGCGTGTTAGCAATAATTTAACTATCTGAATCACTGTACCCAGGTAATGTAAAGCAGATGTTTTATTGTGACATAAGATCAATATCAAATGCCACAGGAAAATCTTACAGTATAAGCAATGAGGAAAAAAACCAAGCTAGAATCCTCATCAATATATAGTCACATATCAAATCCACTTTTATAAGTTAAATAAAAAAATTAAAACTAAATTTTGAAAATAAACCCTCTAAAACCTATTGCTAAAATTCAGTTATAAGTTCTATGTAATTATTGGAAACAAAAAGCATAGAAGACTATTACTTTGAAACCTCAAGTTTATAAAAACTGATAATCAATTTTGTCAAATTAAAATGTGGTGCAACTCTTTGCCTCGACTAATGGACCAACTATGAACACCTACCGCAAAAAAGGATAGCATATCCAAAGGCTCCCTGAGCACTATCCCAATTCAACAGGCAGTCCATTTGCTATTGGTTCATGATACATTCGTTCCCTTTCTAGTCAAAACAAGTACTAATAACTGGAATCAAAAATTTGTTTTGTTATGGACTGTGAGTGCTGATTGGAAATTTTCCCACATTTTGTGCATACATCCAGTGACTTGAGTTCAGAACGTGCAGTCTTTCCATCAATTGAACTCTAATAGCACTCACTAGCAGGCTCCCTACCCAAGCGTCTAAAGAAGTGTTTAAATCAAATTAACTTGAAATAAGTCAGTTAAAAAAGTTATAATAGGAATCAGAAACACAAGCCTAAACATAGAAATGCAGACCACACTAACTCACCAGGGCTAAAAATCTCTTGATTGTGCTGTAGGAAATGCTACATTTTAATAAGCAAAGCATAGGAAACGTATTGATCTTATTTCTGACCCTAAATGAAGATACACTCAGGTTTACTCTTGAAAACAGGCATATTCTCTTGAGGGAAGTTTTACCCTCTCCCCTACCACCTGAGATGCATATACTTGGGAAAGGAGACCTCCTCTACCTAGGTGTAAATAAGGTGATGTCTACCAAAGATGTTGATGAGGAAAATAGGACTTAATTTGTAAATGACATCTTTCAAGTTCATCATAAAAATAGGACAAATATGAAGTCACATTTGTAACTATTTTTTTTAAATGTCTGTCCTGTCTTGGTTTTGGCTAGGATAGCTATTTTATTTTTTTCCTTCTTGGTAGCTAGAATAGTGCTGTGTTTTGGATTCAGTATGGGATTTGATATGAAAACAATGTTGATAATGTACTGCGGTTTTTAGTTTTTGCAAAGAAATCAAGGATTTTTCATCTTCCCATGTCCTGCTAGAGCACAGGTACACAAGAAACTGGGAGGGAGCATAGCCAAAGCAACAGACCCAAACTGGCCAATAGAATATTCCCTATCATACAACACCATGGTCAGTATATAGATGAAGGCTGATTGGAAAGCTCACCCTCGCTTCTGGGATTGTGGTTTCAGGATTCTCTTTTCTGTGGGATTGCTAGCTGGGAACGGGCTGGGCATTGGTCAGCAGGTGGTGGGAAATCATACTGTGCATTACTCATTTTTATTTTCTATTATTACTATTATCATAATCATTATTTTATTTTATTGTAATTATTAAATTGTTTTTATATCAACCTGTGAGTCTCCCTAACCCTCCAATTCTCTCCCCTATTCCCCAGGGATGGGGGAGGGTGAGTGAGCAGCTGTGTGGCATTTGGCTGCCAGCCAGGTTTAAACCATGACTTTGTAGATAATCAGAATACAAGAGCAACTTATTGGAAAAAAAAAAAAAAATCTCACCAATGCAAGGTGTTTGAGTGCCACCTAGTCTCTTGGGCTACAAAAGCCTCAGATCTCAATCCTGTCCCAATTTTCAGACCAGGTCATAGCTCAGACCTCAGTTATTTGCTGCAGTTGCTGAATTAATGTGTCTTTGGCTCAGTATTTTCAGGAGACTGTTTCCTCTGTGAGCCATGACCAACCATACCTTTTGACATGATATCTCTTAAAACTAATCCATTACTGAGAACCAAGATTGTAAGAAGATGCAGAGCAATAACTACTTGGGACACATAGTCCCATGGAATTTTGGGAAAAATAATAATTACTTCAGGTGTTCTCAGCAGCCAGTCTATCAGGAACAGGTTGTAAAACAACCCTGTGATTCTCCATTTTGAGGTTTATTTAGTGGTGTCCTCACTACTTTTCTTTTTTTCTGGCTGTATGCTCTTAAAGTTATGTTGCACTTGCATAATCCCAAGTACCTGTTGCAGTTGGTGTTACTTACGTTAAATCAGACTGGGAATCCAAGTGGCTCATGACATGGCCATAAAAACAAATGTGCTGGCACACAGCATTATAAGGACTGAATTGTTTGCGATAAAAATATTGCTTTCTGGCCTATTTTTGTTGTCATTGTTTTATAATAAAAATATCAGTGTTGCTGGGATTTATCATGCATGTATATTTACTGTTATATCTTTTTGTTTTCCAATATCCATGCATTAATTAATAAATTAATACAAAAAAGCTTGTTAGCTAAAGCAATCACATCTTTCATGAAAGTTATTACAGATCATTATTGCTAGATGATTCCATTATATGCCACAGCAAATTTGTAATTATTATTGTCATCTTACTATGAAGAGATGAATCATCCAAAAAATCCTCCTGGGATTCTTTAATTTCTCCAGGTCTTGATTCACGAAATTAATTCCTAAGTGAGATTTTCCACCACCTGAAAATTACCTACAATTGTGGAAGAAGAAAAAGAAAAAAAAAAAAAAAAAAAAAAAAACCACAAGATAAATACATTGCTAAGATTCAGGACTCTGGTTGTGTAAATATTACTACATTTCCAAAACAAAGGGATTATAAGAGATCAGAGTATGGTTACACTACCAGCAGCCCCTACAACATGCTTCAAAGGACAATAAACATCCCATAATGCACCTAGACAAGTGTGAAATATTTTTACACACAAAGAAAATGTATGCAACTCCTGCATAAAAATTGTTCCTAAAAATTAAAAGATGTTTACTGACATATCAACTTGCAAAACTATAAACATTCTCTTTGTGTTTTTCATTTAGTTGCAGAAATACAATTCATCAGGCATTAAATTATATGGTTAAGTAGAAATACCCATTCAACTGCTCAGGCATTCAGAAGTGGCAGCATTAAAAGTTAAACTGTCATTTTAATATTTTGTTAAAATCAAAACTAACAGGACAATTCAAAGGTCAGCAGAGACTCTCTGAAAACTCTGGAAAAAGCTCTCCAGAAGCACACATTCAATTCAGATTTTCAGAGTCAGAAAAAGAAAAGAAAGCCTGCATTACAAAGCATACAACTGAGACAAAAATTTAATATGAATAGTAAATTATGTAGCTATGAAATGACGGAGAACAAGCAGCCCTGGCTATCAGTAATTTTCCCAGAGTTCTCTTAAAACATTACATATGTGCTTGAACTGTGTCAGCTTTTAATACTGGCTTTTTGTCACAGCTGGGTCTCCAACAAGAGGAAAGTCAGAATCATGTCTCTTCCCTCACACCAGTTGCTAGCAAAGATCACACTCCAATCCAGAAGTAGGATTCAGTTGCTGTTGTAGGCAAGGTTAAAAAACATAAATCTTGCAGTCTTACTAATATTAATCTGTTTTATTTCTTTCCATTTCATTGGGAAAAGTGAGGATTGTGCATTGCTATATGTATAGGTGGATTCCTGACACACTGAGCAATAAAACTGACAAATGAGAATACTAGTGAGGTGTACATTTATAAACACATACACATGTATATATTAAAAAAATACAGTCCATAGAGTTATTTTTTCTACTGGCACATAGAAGAACAACATTAAAAGCAAGCCTTGAGTTAACTGTCAAGAAGCCACAGCAGACTACTCACATATATTGACTGAAGAGCACAGAGTTAAATTTACTATTACAAATCTTAGTTCTGACAACGGTGGTTTACATCTGTTAACATAAAGTTTAACTTTAGATGTCTCTGGTATTTCAGTGTCAAAATGAAGATTTTAAAGTTGAGAATTAAGTATTTTTGATTCCAAATGAATTGCATTAACTTTCATCATTAATTTTCAAGTTAAAGCTCAGATTCCAGGCAATCTGCTCAGGCAGGCCCACACCAATCAATTCTGTATTTTTAAAGTCTTGCTTGTATCGTGTATCAAGTATGCCTATCTTGTATACAGTAACAGTGAGTTTGAATAAAGGCTTAACATCTACATTGGAATGTCAAATACAGTCAGCTAAAATTTATTATTTTGATGTTTATTGTGGCTAATATCTTTATGGGGGTAATCAGAATTACTAAATCATGTTTCTGAGAGCATACATACAAAGTAGCTTCAAGTAACTCAGACATATCTGCAATACTCTGTAAAATAACCCTTATTACGTGACTAAAAGAAAAAACATCCTACTCAGTTGCATAAGTTCATCTTATTTTACAATGACACACACAATCTTTATTCCTTTCCAGTGAAACAGTTGCCTCTTTGAGTGCAAGAAATCCCATTCATCCATTTTGCATTCTAGAATTTAATAGATTAAAAATTACACCCCTGAAACATTTTATAATATCGGAATTAACATTTCTGTAACGTACATGCACAGTATAGACCACCACACTGCTAAAATAACACCACTTAATATATTAGTGGTAATATGAGAATACAATGCAATAGAGATTATAAACCACTTGTCATTCTGTTTCAGTGATGATTTTAACTATCTGGGAAGGCTTTAGAATTAGTATGTTTGTAGCCTACCATGGGGATAATAGGACAGTGAATGCTGTACTGCACTTCCAAAAGCTCTTTTTATCTCTAGCAATGCAGGGAGAATCAGCATGTAAGGGTACTTCCATTCTTATTTGTGGAGAACAGGAAGCGAGAACAAGGTCAGAACAAAACTGATATACAAATGGAGAAAGAAAAGACATTTTCCTACATGTACCTCAGCTTGCATACCCTTTGAAATGGTATGCAAGAATACAGTATATTATAAGGGGAAAAAAAAAAATCACTGTTAAAGAAAACTGGTTAATATGCTTTCTCTTGGTCTTTTCGTGTAACTGTTGGAAGTGACATTTCTTAAAAAAACCTCCATGAACAAAACCCCTCCATTTCTTGGCATGGAAATGGAATGCCAAGTGTAACTGAAAAATAGCCACCTGCCCCCAAAACCACTTACCAAAAATGATTAATGATGACTGTTGCCTTTCAACTTTTGAACATTAATACCTAAAAACATTATTCGGATTAATTTTATGTAAAACCTTATAGATTTAACTATAAACAAATTTAGAAGTCTTAATTCTTAAAAAAGCAGAACTATACTGCACAACAGATTACAGTGTGTTGTGATCCATGATAAAATAAATACTTTTCAGCCTGGGGTATACAGACAGTAAAATTAAGTGTATAGAGATAGCAGATGCTTGCCCAAATTCTGCGCTGGTATAAGCAAGACAAAGTTTTCAACACTAAGTATTCTATCTATTTTTTGTTTAGTATTTTGTGGGTATGAGTGTATTTATCTATAAGTTTATGTATAATCCAAATACTAGAGTGTGTATACCTCTGTGCAGACTCTTGAATAACATTTTATCTTTACACAATCCAACCAACCCTAAAATAGAACACTAAGTCAATACTCTACAATATAAATATCTCTGTCCTATTTTTAAAGCAATTACAGTAGATTTTTTAACATTGTTAAAAAAATTTACTTTCTTGTAGTATTGTTGTACAATTATAAACTCCAAAGCATTTTAATAACAACTTCAAAAGCTTCAAAAAATTACAGAAATACATATTTCAATAATCTCTCCTCTTCTTAATTGTTACACTAGGAGGCACGCTGCAACAGAACTATCTGCCAGAAAGGGAAGATCAAGCCAATGAGCAGAGGCACACAAAAAGTAAAATATTCAATATAAAAAAACACTGTGTATTTTCTAAACACTATTCTTTGATTTGCAGTGGAACAAACTGTCAATAGCACTATTCCATTTAAAAACTTCCTGATGTACAAATATTCAGGACAAACTACAGTTCCCTTGGTAATCTGTTAGCACACAGTTGTTTCAAAGAAAAAATATTGCATAGATTTTGCAATACCTATACTTTTTGCATAGATTAAAAAGATGAAGAATGGAAAGACTGTAAGTGCATCCTGGTTACCATGGACACATTTCATTCTCGATGTTATCTGGAGGTGCAAGTGTTAAAGCAATTCACCACCACATTGCTTAATCCACTGGCACGTCTTCATGAAAAAAGCAAGAGGAAAGGATGAGCTGCAGCAACCAACCAAGGCTTCAGATAAAAAAAGTCATAGCAATTTTTTTAACAAATAAGACTACTAAACTATTTATGTGAAAATTAGCAAGAAATATACTATTTAGGAAATATCTATTGACAAAATTAATCTGGATTTAGATTACCAGAAATACAGTACTATTTATACTGTATGAGAAAATAATATTTGAAGTTTGTCATGGTGAGCCATCTTTTAAGGTTGCTGGGCTCAACCCTCAATTTAATCTATTGCGGAAGTTATAGCTTAGAGACAAGTCTCACATGACAGACTCATACTGTACAATAAGCATGTGAATTCATGATGTGAATGAAGCCCTATTAAAGGTACATATGAGAAACCGTTTTCTTCTCCAATGCACATTTTTAGGATTTCAAACTTCTCAAGTCTCAGCTTTCTTCTCTGCTTAAAACTAGTAACTCAAAATGTCACTTCTCAGATTACAGGTTATTTGGAGATTAATTTCCCTATTTTTCCCTTAAGTTGTTCTACTTTAAATAGTTAAACATTTATTGGAGGAGAAAGGTGACTCCAGAATGTAGAAAACAGTGCTTGCTGAAATTTAGGAGATCTAGACCAAAATATTTTTCTCTGTCTCAGGTGAATAACCTAAATCCCCAGTCTCCTCGGATTTGTCACTGTAGTCCAAACTCTCATTCCCCTGTGCAGTGAAGAAGCTATTGCATCTTCTATTGAAAAAAGCGGTCACATTCTCAGTTAGTCACAGTGACTTTACCTCTACTAAATCCCTTCTCCCAGACTGTTTTATCCTATATTCTACTACTTTCTCACAGATTTTTAAAAAAGAATAAATCTCTGCTTCTGGATAGGTTTTGTGGATTGGAGGAGACTATAAAAATTTATGTTGCCTTACTAATTGATTTCAATCAGTAATTCAGTCAGTAATTGTATTCAAATGCTTCTGTCCCTCATTTTTATCTCATTTCCTCTTGCAGAATATTGTCACACTTTTGCTACAATTTCAAATAAATCTATTCTTTTTGAAGCATTAAATTCTCATGCACCTCAGTGTAGAAGTCATCCATTTCCAGTATCGAAATCACCCATTTCACCCTAATATAAATATTTACCAAAAAAGTGGAATAAATATCAGCAATACAGAAACATCTTCAAGGAGATAACTATAAGAGAGATGTTTCTAAAGCTATGATCTGTATGCCTAAATGTCTTTCAGTTAATTGATTGCTTGAAGCCAGTATCAGCTAATCTGTTGCCTAAGAGTTTGTAAATCTAAGTTCAATTTCCAAACCATGAATAAGTCAAATGCCTTCAATAGATACCTTTTTAAAATTCTGAAACAATTACAGTGAAAACTACCAGCTTACCTGCTTCCTTCATCTTTCCAGTCCCTGCTAGTGTAGATGTAGTTTTACTTATGAAAAAGCACTCCTCCTGTCATAGCTTTTTCTACTTTCATTCTAACATAGCTGCATCTAATTGAGAAGCTGATACGATAGTACTGTAAAGTTTTTCATGCAGTTGCAGCTACATCCACACTACAGCTTTGACTGCCTAAATAAAAGAGGAAAATTTAAATAGGACAATTGAAATCTTTAGGGTTAGACAGAGCTATGCTCATTCTAGGTGAAGGAGGCTTCTAAGTCACTTTAAAAAATGAAAAACAGGTACCTTAAAATTTTAGTCACTTTTCATCAAAAAGAGAAAACCACATATTACATCTAAACTATGGAACCAAGTAGCACCAACAATGCATAGGTATTTTCAAAAGAACTAAAATAAAACGTTAAATAACTTCACAAAGAGGTAGAGTGAGGCTATTCTTATGCATTGACACTGATGCTGCTAAAGCAAATGCTATTTTTATCCCTGTGGGATAAGCCTTTGAAGAACAGTAACACACATGGGCAATTGTTTCATGTAAGGCTACTAATGGCATATTGTGATTAACTTAAAAGCAAGAATGCAGATCTTGTGGAACTGAAGAATCCATTAAGTCTCCTTTTTCCCTCTTGCCCCTAAACCCAGTTAGATTCTTAGCAATGAAAATATATCCTTTGTTCAAATAAATATTGCCACTGTGCATTCATACAGCATAACAAGCAACAGAAAGGTATCTCACAACATGTTGAGAAACAGTCAAAAAAATTAATAGTTACAGAGATGACAATTAACAAATACTACCAAATATTCATAACATGATCTTGGCACAGTTACACAGCAACTTTTTTCCTAGTAATTTCCTTGCTGTCTCTACATGAAAGAAAATGGCAGTCACCATCATGTTTAAGTTTGTTAATGATGGTTACACAAAAATCTTGCAAATAGAAGCAGTTCTTTCATATCCATTGCTTGCACTAAGGGTTTGGGTTTTTTTTTTTTTTTGTAGCAGAACTGAAGCCTAGCCAGAGAGGCAACTTTTGCCAGTTTTACAAAATTCCATAGGCATCACAATCTGTGAATACTGAGGTTTCTCTTTTGTGGCCTACTACTTGATTTTTTCAGAGCCTTGATATGATGTTGTATGGAGCTTTTTGGCAATTATGATCACCTGAGGACACTTACATGAAAATTCAAACTTTTGCCCAACCATGCTTGTGTAGTATGTATGAATATAAAGTAAATGTTCAGCTGGCTATTTCTAAATACAAAGATATGAAGAAGAGCCAGCAGAGGATAAGAATAAATGACCTACTGTACACCATCATTACCCTATGGCATTTAGCTTGACCTAGACTGTAAAAATAAGAGTTCACAAGGAATTCATTGTCCACCAGGAAAAACTGTTATTTCTAGCTTCCTTATTCCATTAAGAGTGAGATTTAAAAACCAAAAACCAAACAAAACTTTTAATATATGTTTTTAAGTCTGCTTATTTTGGAGGGTTGCTGTAATAAACGTAAGAGCTGAAAAGCAGTTGTAATCACTCATTGCTATTGAAGATGGCTATCTTCTGCCTTTATCTTCTAAGCAACAACAGAAAACCAGCTTAATTTAATAACTGGGCTTTAAGATCATAAACATGAATAGTTTAATACAAGACAAAATGCTCTAAAGCTACTGCTAAAATATTTATCTAAACACTTTAGAAGTTTAATGCTTGCACTAAATTAGTAGCTCTGCATCATACAACTTCACCAGTACTGTCCTGAAAGTGATTAACACTTGTATCTGATTAAATAATGTGGTTATTTACCAATGAAAAACAGAATAATAGAAGTCTCCTTATAACACACTGTGGTACTAGATCCATCTCCTCAACCTGATCATTCCACTATTACAGAATGGACATACTGGTGAGTCTTGCAAGATTTTCAGAGAAAAAACGATACTGTATGAGACAGGTAGTAGGACACAATTAAGAAGAATAAATCAATACAGTAATATTTAACTCTGCTTTTCCCAATGGATAATGCTGTGAAAATAGTTGTAACTGAAGGGGATAACAATCAGCAAGACCACTCTTCCTCCACATGACATCAATAGAAAGACTTAATATGTTCACCAATTAACGTCTCCAACTGTGCTAGGCTACTGAGCAGGCAAGCTTTTACTGCTGCTCTACAGTCACTTCTTAAATACTCTTTAACTTTCTGACCAGCTACTCATGGACAATGTCCCACCTGTCCTCTGACTAAGTAAGTAGCATCAGTCCTGTTACTTGTATA